GGGGTGTGTGGGGGGTGAGGTTTGTATGAGGGTGGGGGGAGCGAGGTGTGGGGGGTAATGTCTGTGGGAGGTGAGGTGTGGGGCGGTATACGTTAACCTGCCTTTATCTGCTGTTATCAGATATGGTCCCTACACACAACACACCCTCCCAGCCTCGCTCGCTCTTCCCTCAAACCACGACCATAAGCAAACTTCACTCACATATGGAACAACGTTCTTGCCAGCTACCGATACAGCTACTCAAGGGTTGTGTGATGTATGGGACAGTGATGCAAACTGACGGTGAGGCGCTCTGGTTAGGTTAGGTGTGTAGGGAACCATAGTTGTAACTGTATATGTATCACTCTACAGTCGACACATTGTATCATGAATCTATTGGTACTTGTTACTCTGGTTTCTACTCGTTATTGTTACTGGTCTTTTCAACAGGTGTTACTACATGTGACAAAATGCTTTTGAAATGATTATTAACTGGTCTTATCAAACACATTTTTAAGGATTATGTAAAGATTCCACACCTTAGTTTATTACACCTGACAAGGGTCAACATTACCCTACTACTCATCCTTATTTAGATACGTTCTCTCGACACTAAGTTGGGGATACTATTAGTGGACAGTTGCCATGTGACTCCGTATACTGATGCGTCACATTCTTTTGATAATATCAGATAAGGGACTTGGATAGTTGATACCCAGCCGTAGGGTGATGGGGCGTGTGTGTTGTTGTTCTGTCTCAGCCAGTGTTACCGGGAAGACTTTTTCTATCAGGTTAAATTTTCAAGAAAACCTTATTTGTGAAGAAACCTTCATATATATATATAATATATATATATATATATATATATATATATATATATATATATATATATGGGGTATGCTATAACGAACGGATCCTACTATGAATATTCCTATAACGAACGGTTTTGTTCATCCAGGTATTTACTCAGCAAGCTCATTGCACAATTCTCTTAGCACCCTGGGCCGGGACTCTTATGGACCTTTAGCTTTGACAATTTATTTCTTATACCCTCTTCTGTGAACACAATGTGGGTCAGTGCTGTGTCGAACCGTCTGTCCTCAAACGCAGGTAGATTAATCGCATCCTCTCTTGTGAACACCGAGGAAAACTATTCAATGCCTCAGCTTTGTCCTGGTCAGAATCTGCATAACTACCATCTTCAAGCCTCAGGTCTGATACTCCTACTTGCGTTTTTAATTTCGACTTTGCATAGCGGTAAAACGCCTTTGGGTTTGACTTAACCTCACTTACAACCAGTCTCTGGAACTCCCTTTCAGCTCTTCTACACTCTGACTTAGCTTGGTTCCTGGCTCTTGCATTCATCCTCCTGTCCCGCTCATCGTTTGACCTAGCCCACGTCTTGAATTTCTGGGTTTTCTTCTTAACTTTGTCGACCTCCTCATGGTTCATGTGTAGGGGTCCCCTCGTATTCCTAGAGGCACTGGGTTTGGTCTTGGGTATATATTTATTGATCAAATGGGTCACTTTACTAGTTATGATATTCAGCGTAGTGTCTGCGTTCTTGTGCCTTCGTGTGTCAGGCCAGTTGATACCCCTCATCTCGTCCCTCATCCCGTGGTAATTTCCCTTGTAATATTTGCACCTTGGCCTGGCCTTATCTTGAACTAGGTAACAGTTAAATCTGAATGACAACACTACACGGTGACTGGTGCCAACTGGGGCTAGATGTTCCAGTTTGGCCACCATACCCTCTTCGTGTGTTATGATGAGGTCTAGTGGCTTGGGTGTTTGCTCTCCTCTGTAATGTGTCTGGTCTCTAACATGTTGGAACAGAAAATTATCTCTCAGAGTTTCTACAAAAAGAGTAGCAGGGTTATTCAAGTCATTTGGCGTGAACTCGTTTCTCCAGTCGTTGTCGCCATAGTTAAAGTCCCCCATGATAAGGAGGTGGCTAGGGTTGAGCATCGCTGCGTTGGCTATTAAGGCTCTTAAGTTCCTTTGATTTAGTAGGTTACAGTTTGGGGCTCTGTAGACACACCCGACAATAAGTAAGTCCCATCTTTTCCATTTAGTTACAAGAGAGGGGGGGAGATAATGATGTACCTAATACTACCTAACTTAACCTAACGCGAGCTAATCCAGCCTGACCTGACCTAACCCAGCCTAACCTAATCTAACCTGACCTGACCTAACCCAGCCTAACCTAACCCAATGAAAATTGTCTTAGAACATACTTTAGATAAGTTAGGTAAATTTGGTCAGGCAATTGTGTTTGCTGTTTTAAAAGAAAGTGCAGATTGAATACCACGGCAACTATGGACAGTAATATAAGAGTCTCCCCACATAGACTCTGCAGTTTTCTTTCATACCATCAGTGTTGTTGGAGTTGAGAGGGGCAACTTACGTAATAATAGTTAAAAGTTTGCGTAAAGTTGGCGTTAAAATATTTGTGTAAAAAAAAATATCCAAACAACTTGGTTAAAGAGTAAGATATAATTAGAGGAAAAATTAAAAGTAAAATAACAAGAATGGCGCCAGCAGTAAAGGAAGTTGATATACTTTTTCAATTGTGACTTTTGGATCTTGCGTCAGAATTACGAAATAATGTCATGTAGGCTCAGTTACTAGACTCATACAGTGAATAATCCTCTTAAATATATAAGATTATATTGAACAAACTGACTTATGATGGAGTAAAGAAA